CTTTTACATCCACATTGTATACTACACTACTTCACACTACTTCACACTACTTATACTTAACACCCGAAACAGAAATAAATCAATAAGGTTGACAACTTACAATTCTACATAAGTTTTCTAATACAGACAAAAGTGTCTATACAATAAATATTTAATTAAAAAATATACAAATAAGTGTCTCTAATAATGAGAGGCTTCCACTTTCCTTCATGGATTTTAAGTCGGTTGTTCTTTATGGCTATAGGTCGTTCAATGGATTCTCTGTGATCTAATTTTATCATGAGATGACGCAATGATGGTAAAATATTCTTCAGACGACTGTGGTAAATAATTAGCTTTCCAGCGATGATAATATGATTTAAAGGCAACCAATGAGACCTTATTTGCGTCAATCCAAAAATTGTCAGTCGTTTAGAGAATCGATAGCAAAGTGCAAGGATTTAAGCCAAAGAACAGACATCCAGAATGCTACAATGAAATCACACCTACAAAAAAGATGCTCGAGAGATTCATCTGAAATTTTGCAAAAAGTGCTGAGGGGTGAATCAATCATTTTCCTTTTGTGTAAAGATTTGTTGGTATAAATTATGCGATTCAGTAATTTATACTGAAAAACTCTTGTTTTAGTGTCAAGCGTGACAACATGAGGAATTTGATAGATCACTTCACAATTAAGATCACCACTATTCTGAAACTAGTGTATCTTATAGATAGTGATTACTGTGCAGAGTGGCGTGGGCGATGTAGAAGAGTCTGTAATGACTCTTTTGTGAACACAGCGTTAACAGTTCTTTATTAACATAAACAGGATTTTTTAACTCAACAATAAACAACAACAGATATGAGCAGCAATAAACAACAACAGATATGAGCATGCTGCAGTTGTAACAGTTGCGAAGCTATAGAGACAAACACTTGTACTTTATTATTAACCCTTTGAATACCAACTACGCATATATGCGTAATTAATGGTCGTGCTCTTTGTACCACTTGTGACGTCATCAATTTAAATGTCATCAGATATT